TACTAGTTAGAGTAAGGAAAGGTTCCAATTAAACCTACTAGGTGGCGTGTGATTGTTGTCTGATATATTATCTTGACTCTCGGCACCAACTGGATATAGTTCAGGTAAACAGGTAAACGATCAACCAATTGCAGCTGACTGAGCTGCATTATTCAATTCATATAAACTTGATAAACATTGGGTCACGTTGTAAAGATCTAAACGAGCCTCCCTCTTCTATACTAAGTAAATGCTGCGGTAGCAATTGAAAGCACCAATCAGAAGCGCCAAATCAAACGGTTCAACCACCCTCTACAAATCCTAACCCAACCACTATTGGTCATAAGTAGTAGATAGCTCAGCGCTAATGCATTCCACATTGAATTCATCCATCCATCCATCCATCCACCTACATAGTAACAACCCGTCTCTCAATCAATCTACAGATCCAACACCCACCCCAACAACACCACTTAGTACTATCTAATCTATCATGACCCAACCCCCAACCCGACAAATCTACACCACCAGCGACCGCATAACAGATTTCCTCCAACACATCGTCACCCAAGATGCCCCCACCACAATCCTACTCATATGCTCAACAAAGGAACAATTCCTAGAGCAGTTACTACTCGCCTCAAGCTCCGGAAGTGAAGAACACAATCAACATAATCACATACTTACCAAAAACACCATCGGGGTGCTGTCCAAATCAAGCAGCATTAAGTTAGTGTACTGCCCTACGCTGGAACATCTTCGAGCGTATTTGTCTGTGATACGATTGCCGGAAGATGGAGTAGGGTTGCAGCGAGAGTTGTTGACTACTACTGCCGAGGAGAAGGGAAGGCAGACGAAACAACCACCACCTCTGATGGCTATCCTGAACCCGTTGGCTTTACATGTTCCTACTTCGGAGTTCTCTGCTCAGGGGTTGTCGAGGACGTTTGCGGCGATGGTGGAGGTGGCGGATCGAGGGGGGATGGATCTTGTGCTGTGTGAATGTAGAGATGTTGGTGATTCTACGGGGAGTGGGAGTTGGAGTGGGAGGGGGGAGGTGTCATGGCATACGCAGGTGCCGCTGTTGAACAGCTCTGTGCGGGTTGGAGAGGAAAGTACGTCGTATCGAGGGGGTGGGGTACCAGTTAAAAGGGTCGTGCAGCGGTGGTTTTAATTTGGTGATAATGAGGCTCCGATTACAGACACTACAATTATAGACGTTTGACGATTTGAATGACAGTGATAGAGCAAGATATGTACTATAAGACAATGTAAACCCCCATAATCAACCGGGTATCCTTGAACCAGCCCTAAACTCCCGATTTGACACCGTAATGAATTCCCAAATTTATAGGCATTTCTCCATGTCCGTGATGTAGAGTTTGATATGTGACTCCAACTTCAAATATTCATCGTGAGCGCTTTGAATTTCGCTCTCGATGTTCTCCTTGAGATCGGCCATCTGGAAAGGAATTAGTAAAGCGTGTAAAGCCGAAAAACAACAGATATTTACCTTCTTCTCAGTTTGTTCTATCCGGATTCTCCTCCGCTCCATGTCGCGCTGCTTTTCAGCTCGCTCCTCCCGGAGTTGTTTCTGGACCTCCCGGAGTTCTTCCATACGCGCCTGCGCTACTTCCGCTTTTTCTTGAGCATTCTTTCGTAGAGCCTCGATCCTCTCATTCCATCGTGCCAGCTGCCGCTGCAGCAACTTCTCAGTCTGCTCCACCTCTCTAACATTGTTCCCTCGCTCAGAAATGGCTTCTCTATTTCTAGAGGCCCTTGACTCTTCATCATCTTCCTTTTGCAGTTCCACGGATATATCTTCGAGAAGGCGCACGCAGGCTTGCACGTCGTTACTAACAACCGTAAACGTGTCTGATGATGTTTGCAGAGCCCTCGCTCGTTTTTCCATCGCATCGATTTGCGCTTTCTCGCGGAGGAGATTCTCCGACAATTCACTCAACGAGGCCTGGAGAGAAATGGGGCTCTCCATTACATAAGGACGCAGTTTCTCAACTTCTTGCCGCGTACGAACGACCCTTTCTGTCTTCTCCTCGAGTTGCGCTTGCCGTCTTGCCTTATCCGCCTTGGCTCTTTCTAGCATTTCGGCCACTCGCTCTTGGTTGCGCCGCAATTCGAGCAGTCGCGCTTTCAACTCGTCGTTACGTCGTACCTTGTCCTTAACCTGTGCCTCGTTGGCCTTCATAGTCCGGCGCATTTCTTCGAGGCGCTGCTCCATCTCCTGGTTCTCCGTGTATAGGGTGTCGATGCGCGATTTGACCTTCTCGCCTTTGTTGAAGTGCTCATCAATAACGGGCGTTTGAGATTCGCGGAATCTAACAAAGTTGATGAGATAGGAGAATATCTTGACGAGGCGATCATGGGTAGGCTTGGTGAGATCGGTAAACATAAAATCATTGACGCCGCACTATATTGGCGTATGCCAAGTTAGATCCGACTGAGCTCGTCTGGTTCGGTGTAAAGCGGGTTCATACGCACCTCCATCATCAACCGCCGTAAGCTGGTAAAAAACCCCATGAGGTTGCGCGTGTCAGTAGGTACGATGTCGGGGTAGTCGCCGCAAATGTCATCCGCCGCAGCTCGCATCGCTGGCTCTACGGTTTCGCGTGTCATATTCATGAGGAGCTCAGCAAACCATTCAAAGACCATTTGGATCTGTTGCGGGTTTGGCTTAATCAAGTCGGCGGCGGTGAAAGGGATGCCGATGTCATTAATGCATCCTGCGATTTCCTTGTCCGGCTGCTAGCAGTATTAGATATTGTAAGCGAAGATGCCTTGTTCGACCTTGAACTGACCAGGCGCATGAGAGCATCATTATCATCCTCCTTTTTGCGACCTCTATTGTGGTGTTGCTGGGAGCCATGGAATTGCTGGCTCATTCGGCTGCCGTACGCCATGGTTTTTCGCAGTCCAAGCTAAGACGATGAGCTACAGGAATCACTCGAACACGGCCAAGGCAGAGTGGTGGCGAGATTGGTGCCCGCTCGATGGATGTTATGATGATTGTTTACTGCGCAGGACTCGCATGGCAACCAGAAGCGGATTAGCGCGGTGGGAGAGGGGCATTGCAGACAAACAATGCAAACTTACTCCACGCTTCCCTTTTTCGATGACTCTTTGCGGCGGCCACAGCGGAATTACCTGTGGACAGTGAACCAGTGTTAGAGAGTGCTTTCTTGCTGTGAACGCGAGGTTTTCCAGCTCACGGCTCTCAACTTCTCGGAGTATTATCGCTTCTTGGCGTTCTTCAGACATCATGGCAGCTCCCACATCGGCCGCCGCCAAGCCGTTCGAGTAAGTCACCTACTTCACATCCAGGAAGTTCTGGTCCTTTGGATCGCTAATATTTGTTCTTTCCAGCATTGTCGCGACCTACAATGACTTGCTCCGCTCCGACCCCGACCTGACTATGCCAATTGCAGCTATCGAAGCTCTGGTACTACTCCTTACAAACTCTCCCTCCTCGACGATATCCGAGACGCTCGACCTTCTCGAGAAATCTACTGCACACCTGAAACAGTCAATCCCGAACCCCATTGGTCTCTCCGCTGGAACCGACCTCTTCCAGCGGTACCTGATCACTACCCTGCAGAGACCCGGACAGCTCGGGCCCGCAGGTGATTTCAACGCGATTAGGGCGCATCTTCTGTCCAACGGACGGTTGTTCATTAGACGTGCGAAGGAAAGTCGAGACAAGATCGCGGCGTTTGGACGAGGCTTTGTACGAGATGGAAGCACAGTTTTGACGAACGGAGGATCGCGAGTTGTCGCTTCGTTGCTACAGAAGGCTGCGGATGAGAAGGGCGGCCCATCGGCAGTGCGGTTCAAGGTGATCTATGTCCTGTCATCGGCGAAGGGTACTGGTGCGCATTCCGATGAGCCGGAGGGTATGGAGACTGTGCGCGCTCTCCGGGCGAAGGGTGTTCCTGTCGCTACGATCCCGGAGTCGGCTGTTGCATACTCGATGGGCAAGGCCGATACTGTCATTGTCGGTGCCGAGGGTGTGGTTGAAAACGGTGGAATCGTGTCGCGCATGGGAACCTACCAGATCGGTCTTCTTGCTAAGGCTATGGGCAAACCCTTCTACGTTGTGGCGGAGAGCCACAAGTTCGTCCGTATCTACCCGCTCAGCCAGTATGATTTGCCGATTGAGCAGCGCGTGATCGATTTCAAGACTGAAGAAGATGTTGCCGACGAGGCGAAGCAACAGCAAGCTTTGTCTACGGATGCAGCTGTTGCCAAGGCCGTCAAAACGGCAGACAGTGCTGATGTAGTTGACTTCACTCCCCCCCATCTGATCTCTGCCTTGATTACCGACAGCGGTGTCTTGACGCCAAGTGCGGTCAGTGAGGAGCTGATCAAGATTTGGTTCTAATTTTCTTTTTCCATTCCGCGCCCTTCCATACAGGCATGGGGCGTGGAGCTTGTGATGTCTTTTAAAAACTGAATGAAGCGGATTGGCGTTAAGGTCATGATATCTCCGGATACTCAAGGTGTTTATTGGTTTGCAATGTGATGTCTGTCTGCAAATCTCAAAGAAAATAACAGCTGAATAGAACTAGGATTACAAGTCCGACAAGGAATGTAGCAATTACCTATTTTGCAATTTACAAAATGCAGAAACCCGGCATATTGGCTATTCACAGCCACACCCGCCGCCGTTGTGTTTCATGCCACACTAAGATAAGCTTAGTACACCTCACCGCGTTAGTGAGGTTTCTGTCTTAAGGGGCAGATGTAGCTGACTACTAGTCATCATTCTTGCCTATGAATTACGTGAGACATTCGAAGCGTGTGAGGCAACTGCTCTATACTTGCGTCATAGTATGTTTGTTTGTATTTGTATTGTAAGCCATACAGTTTGCGGGGGATTCTGCCGAGGCTATCCTCATTCAACATTCAAGGCAGTAGGCGGTGACGGAGGCAACGGACTTGCCATATTAGGCTGGAAGTACTCCGTAATGGCTTCCCCCTATGATTTCATTCCGCGATGGACTTCCTGTTCATGAACTCCTACCATGTAGTTTATCTAGCCCCCTGCAGCCGCCATTGGCTTTCATTTTCCTACTGTACCACGCTCCAAGCCTTGTTCATGAGGTGTCATCCGTCTTACTCCCTGCATTAAGCCTGTACACCTGATACCGTCGATCGCAAAAGACTTCCGCCCTACGTCTCCTTGTCTGCGCGCTGTTTCGTATTCGTTTCTGCTGATCGGCCGCTGCACGAGCCAGCCTTACCAGCCCGCGGTCAGTACTCCGTCTTTTGCTATAGGATCCACCTCAAACGTCCAGCACTCACCCCCCTTCCTGTCTGTGTCAGCTTTCTGCATGTGTCAGATTTCGTCTATCTATATAACTATTGGGGTGCTGGCTCTCCGGTTCCTTGGATCCATGTGAACCGACGAATTTCTCCTATTGCTTTTGTCCCTGCCCGCAGCATGTCTTCGGCCGTTCAACCACCTAATGGCTCCCCTTTACTACGGCCCCGTGCCGTTCCGGGGTCGAAGAATCTAGACGATTTGACGGCAATTTCCCCCTTGGAGAAAGCTGATTCGAGGTGAGTACTTGCATACGGAATTACTAGAATGGCTGGTGCTAACTTTCCTTACTAGTGGCTGCTCAACCCCGGTCCCCGACGATGCTCCCCCCTCCGCGCATTCAATCTCCACGGCAAGAAAGCAAGCACGAGCCCGGACTCGAATATTTTATACAATAGATTATGTTCCTCGAGTATCCCATTTTGACCCGCGCAGCGAGTACCGCGACTTCCGCGGCTTCTATACCCTATTTTGGATTGCATTGTTTATCATGGTCGTTACTACGATGCTTCGGAATATCAAGGATACTGGCTATCCCCTGAGGATCAGAGTATGGAGCCTGTTGTCAGAAAATGTGTGGTCCATGGGGTTCAGTGACGTGGCCATGGTGGTCAGTAGCGCAGTGGTCCTGCCGCTCCACCATCTCATACGAAAAAGCGGTAGCTTGATGCGTTGGGGAAGAGGTGGCATGGTCGTGCAAAGCATCTTCGAGGCAGGCTGGGCCATTCTATGGATCAAGTAAGTTGGCATCTCACTGTACCTTCGGCTAGATGCAGCAGCTAACCATGCTCGTAGTTGGCCGTTTATGATGCGCTGGACCTGGACGGCCCAGGTCTTCTTCACCCTTCATACTCTAACCATTCTGATGAAGGTGCACTCCTATGCGTTCTACAATGGTCATCTGAGCGAGACGCAGCGTCGACTAGCGTCGCTCGACAAGCCAGGGAAAGTCTCATTGGAAGCGCCAATCCCCTACCCAGATGCATCCCCCCGTCGACGCTCGGTTGCCCGGCGTGCGAGCCACCATGCGCGCTCCGAGTCGATCGCTGAATTGCGCGAGGACTTGGCCACAGAGCTCACCTCTCCTATGGGAAACGTCACCTATCCTCAGAATCTTACCGTTGTTAATTATGTCGACTTTGTATTCTGCCCCACTCTCTGCTACGAGTTGGAATATCCTCGGAGCAAGGAAAGACGGTGGATCGAAATCGGCTTGAAGACTTTGGCTATCTTCGGATGCATTTTCCTATTGACATTGACAAGCGAAGAGTTTATCCTCCCTGTCCTGACAGAGGCCAACATCCAATTGCACAAGGTGTCAAGCGCGGCCGAAAAAGCCCTGATTCTCGCGGAGACCATCAGCATGCTTCTGTTCCCCTTCATGGTCACGTTTCTTCTTGTGTTCCTGGTGATCTTCGAATATGTTTTGGGCGCCTTCGCGGAACTAACTTGTTTCGCTGATCGTCACTTTTACTCAGACTGGTGGAATTCATGCGACTGGTTAGTGGAAGCTTATAAAGCCTCTTTGATGATGGCTACTAATTTGGCTACAGGCTCGAGTTCTCCCGCGAATGGAACATCCCAGTTCACCACTTCCTCCGCCGCCATGTATACTTTCCCTCGCTATCAAACTTCTCTAAGCCGGTCGCCATGTTTATCACTTTCCTCGTCAGCGCCATTGCCCACGAATTAGTCATGAGCTGCATAACCAAGAAGCTCCGCGGCTACGGATTCTTAGCGATGATGCTCCAGCTACCCATCGTTGCGGTACAAAAGTCCAAATACGTCCGAGGAAAGACAACACTAAACGTACTTTTCCCCTCCTGAATACTGTGCCCCAAACCAAATACTGACTCAATCCAGAACCTCTTCTTCTGGCTATCTATGATTTTCGGATTATCACTGGTAAGCTTACTAACAACTTCACACCCGGAGTTCTCGATCAACTCTAACCTACCGCAGATGTGTGCGCTTTACGTCCTCGTCTAGACACACGAAGCCAAAAATCCCTATTAGCAGCTGGCTACAAATCTCCCCGCGACCTACCTGGCACCACCACCATCTTATTTCGAGTCTGTAACATACCATATTCGACGTACATTATCTTTTGAGCTTGTCTTATCATTTCGCTTTACATATATACTACCATACCCATATACATGCATGTTTACATTCTATATACCCTGCTTGTTGGTTTGGCATTGTATATCATCAGTCGGGTTTATTGCATATTTCATCTTATGTTTCTGTTTTAAGACAGTTTCTTTTTGCGTTAAGAGGAAGAAGAAGAATATAGATTGATCTATCCAAGTGTTAATTCTATAGATGGACATATGTACTATAACACCTATTATATTGATGGGTTTAGGCAAACAGCTTAGATATAGAATATGAAGGGGTAAACAGGTGGAATCTGGATACTCTTAACGATTGGATTCAGCTATACCGAGCTAGTACTACGACTACTACTTTCTCTATATACCCACATTCCGAGTATATGATTCGTTGTCTAAGCCAACAAATCTCAGAGACGCCAGTTACACACAGCTAAGTCGAACATAAGACCAAAGAAAGAGATACTGTATATTGTTTCCCAGAAACAAACCCCACTCACCAGCGGCTTCAAGCCTGAGTACCTGCCTCTATAATCCAATTTGTATTCCTAGAGCAACGCAGCCAAAACTGAAACGCCCATAATGAACCAAAAATCAACTAATGACAAAGATATGCCCATGCCTAGAACATGAAGCACTTGTATTGCGAGAGCGATAGATATCCAGTATCAAACAAAACCTGTAGCGGTGTCTGGTCCATCAAGGACAAGAGACACGTGACGTAACCGATCAAGGTGATGTACTCTTGGTTTCGAGTTGGGTGTGTGATGTGTATCATGCGAAGATGAAGTGAGCCGAACAACTTACATATGCTCAATCGGCTCTTCAGGGAGAAGAATCTCTTGGTCGCGGCGAGAACTAGGAAGGCAGGCTTTGAGCGGCGGGCGGACAATGTCGTTGAAGAGGAAGGTTCCGTAGACGAGGAGCGCGAAGCCGACGACTTGTAGCCATTTGAAGGTCTCCCAGCCCAGAGCGAGGGAGACGAGCCAGATGAAGAGGGTCCGGCAGGTGTCAATAGTGCTGCGGGAAGTAGCGGATACGGTGCGGGTGACGGAGAGACCGAAGAAATTGAATCCGCTGAGATTGTCTTAATTAATATGTTGTTGACGGATAAGGAGGGGTGTTAGGAAGAGACTCACCCAATACTGATCATGATCAAGAAACTGGACATGGCGATTGCTCGGTTATGGAAAACCTGGCTCCATCCTTCCTTTGCATCGAAGTAGCCGTAGCGGCCGGCCTCCGTACGTCCGATGGTCAAGTACAAGATGATCGAGCCAATGACGGTGACAGAGAACCCGAAGATACCTTCCCAGCCAACGACCTGGAGGGGGTCCATTTCATAGTTTTCCAAGATCCACTCTTCCAGAACGAATTGGGACGCAGTGAAGATCTGGGCTGCGGCTATAAGCAGCACACCAACGACAGCTTTCAGTGCTTCCGGAGACCGCGTTGTGGCCTGGACTTCCCGGATAGCATGGGTTACTACGGTGGCAGCACTTCCTTGGGTGACGTCGTGCCCTTGGTTGTCGGCGAAGAGGGCACCTGCAAGACCGACCAGAGCAACGCCTAAGACCACAATGAACAGCGCCAACCAATGATAGAGATAAAGTTTGCGGTGGAGGAAAAGAACACTGAAGAGGCCGACGAATAGAACGAGGGCACCGCGAGTCATCTGGTAGACACTGGCAGCAACAAAGAGCAACCCGACGTTCATCAGAGTTGTGCCCGCGATATCGCAGCACGCTGGTGCAGCAAGAAGAAAGATCTTGTATCCTCGAAGATGAACGCGACCGTCTGCTAGCGTGGCGGGCTTCGTGACATCATCTGAGGCTTCTGGCCCTCTGATGGTATAATCTTCCTCATCGTCGAGTCCTTCGGTATTGTTGACAGGGTGATAACCGCCAGCTAGAAGGGGCGAAGAGTTGTTGGACAAGCGCGGAGCAAGATACCGTTGATACAGCCAGGTCATGAGAATCACCAGCCAGCTTCCCATTTCTCCGGTGAACATCTGAATACTGTCATCCAAGGGAGATTGTGAGCCGACATATGCAGACTAGGGCAAGTAGGGGAATACCTACGTTTGGATAACGGGTTGCTCGAAGGTGCGACGGTATTTGGGATAGGGCGAGTCGCAATTCCACACGCATTGCATGTCCTGTTCATCGGGTGAGCGAAGAGGTGTGTGGCATAGAACAGTAGGGAAGTCATACCTGGTATTTGTTGAGGATGGTGTTGCACACCCCGGTGACGAGCATCATCGTCACCAGGAATGGAACGGCAGCTTTATTCGCCATGATGCCCCGAGTGTGGTAAGAATATGAGGGACAAAAGGAGTAGTTGTTGAATAGTACAAAGCAGGGAAGAGGTAGAGGGGAGGTACTAAGCGCCATAGATAAGCCACTCGGTGGCTCACGTGGGTGGAGTGATAAGGTGGTCACAGGGAAGAGGGAGTGGGTTAGTTGGCCAAGTCCGAAGAAGCTGACGATGGGTGGGAAGGCAAGAAGGAATTCAAGGCACATTCAAGTCGAATGGCGAGATTGATATTCGGAAGGAAGCTAGCAAACAGGGAGCTATTGAGCACCCATCCTGGAAGACCGAGGATAATCGATGGGAGAAACACGGAACAAAGCAGACGAGGATGATGGGTGGAAGATGGAGGGAGAGTTCATGGGGAAAGAAGAGCCACAGCTTTCAGGTGGACAGGCTAACCTTATCGGCAGCTGATCCGGGAGTGGGTCTTGTCACGGGTCCGTATGGGGCGTATCATTACGGCTGACATACATACGGATAATCCAAAGTGACTAGTTAACTAACTCTAGTTCTAGTTTAAGGACTAAGTATGCAATGCATCGAGATGTATACAGATGGAATATTGGTATAATTAAAGCTAGACTAGATGGTGCTTCAAAACAGCCATGGGATACACATCCAGTTATCCTCCTCAGCCCTAATTCTTTCTCCAGGCCGTGGCGGTTCTCACTCTTCAAACCATTCCCCGAGAGAGCCTTGCTCCCAGGGCGACTCAGCAAATAAACCCTCTTTTTTTATCACTCGCTCCGTCCAACGCCGCGCCAGAAGAATACCGACCAGTGAAAAGTTAATAAAAAAAAAAAAAAAAAAAAAGAAAAAACACACAAGACGTCACGAACTAGAAGTGACAAGTCCTCCTCGGCTTATTGTACAATAATCATTCGTGGTCCATGCCATAATGACATAGTAATCCGCACGCCTTTCGCCGGCTCAAATCATAAAAAGCTTCTCGTCACAGGCTACCTGCCTATATCGCACATATCGCGATGCCGCTATCGTCAACGTTGATCGCCCCGTCTTTGCGGTCGACCAGATCCCAATCAAATTCCTCCCATGGATCCGTCATCATAATTCCATCTTCTAGCCGGCCTGGGAAGGTAATCCAATCCGCTGGAAGCCAGCTGCCCTCACTCCCTTCGGTCTTACCATTGAGATCATCCGTCTTCGGAAGCTCGGTATCCTTGGGTGTTTGGGTTACGAGGCCAGTCTCAACAGAATCCGGTGTGTCTTTCGCTTGCGTGTTGGTAAACATCTCAGGGTTAAGGAATTCATCCATAGCACCGAATCCAAGGCCGCCGTCATCGGCGAACTCCATGAAGGTATCCTGTATCGCGTCGAGAGAGATCGCGCTGTTTGCCCATGGATCTTGGGGAGTTGCGTCCGCAGAGGGCCCTGGCTCAGCCATTTTGGCCGGCTCCTTCTTGCCGTCTTTGCCGGCGGTTGGCTTGAGGGGAGATGGCATTGCCGGTTTGGCGGTGGACGTGCGAGGCGTCAATTGTTGGTTCGATGCTGGCGAACTAGGCTTTGGTCCTACTTGGGTGGGAGCTCGCCCCATGGCGGCCGCACTTGTGGGCACTGGAGTGGCCGCCTCGAGTTTAACCTCGTGCTTTGAAGGTGACGAGGTTGCAGCGACCTTACCATTTACAAGCGGGATGCTCTTCAGGTCTGGAGCCCCACTCTTATCCTCGTCCTTCACGAGGCAGGTGCGGAAGCTCTCCAAAGCGAACTCCAGCGGGTTCTCAATGGGCTCTTCAACCTGGTGAGCCTCTGCAACGTGCCTGTCCAAGGCGTTTTGCGTCGCCAACCCTTGGTAGTGATGCTGACACTCGGGGACACTACACTTAAATGCCCCACCCAAGGCTGCACCGGTCGTCCGTGCATCGGCCGGTTTTCCTGCCTGCGCCTTGGAAGTTGGCGCCGCAGAAACGGGTGTAGCTCCGGTTTGGGACTGCTTGCGTTTCTTGGGGGGAGGAAGTTTCAGCTGTTCCGGAGGAACACTACCCGGGCCATAGGCATGGGGAACACCTTGAGGAGAAGGCGCTCCAAACGGGGCTTGGGGGATGGCAGCAGCGCCAGAAACAGTCTGGCTGGAGGCTCGGCGGGCACGCTGAAGTGCTTCCTCCTGCTGTTGCAATTGCTGCAGATTGCTTGCGTTCAGGGCGGGCATGTTGGGTTGGTTGGCCTGTTGCGCAGGTGCTCCCTGAGAGACGCTAAACCGTGGGCCTGGCATCTGTTGGTTGACGCGCGCAATCATGGTATGGAACAGCCTCTTGATGGAACCAGTGTAGAGCCCCAGATATTGTGGCGAAATTGTGAACTGGTCATTGAGAGTCCAATCAGGCCCTGGTTTAAATTGCCTCATTAAGTAGACCCGCTGGAAAGCATCGTCAGTAATGAACGAACCGCACATATAATGGAAAGGGAAAGCAAGCGCATAACTCACCATTGAAAGCAAACTGTGCACATTCTTCTCTTGTCCGGGAATTTTAGTAGCCAGAAATTGAATAAGATTATCCATTTTACTTAGGTAGTCAGTGATCTCCCGCAGCTGTTGCGCCATGGTTGCCTTTTGCTCTGGCGTAATGGATACAGGCTCCCCTGGAGGAGTGTTTCTAGCAATTTCGTTGTACAACTGCTTTAACTTTTCTGGCAACTTGTTCCATTGTTCCTCTGCATGCGCTCTGCTGATGGGAACACGGCCTTGAGGTTGCTGAGATTGCTGCCGGCGCAAATGTGCCTCGAACTGTGCGCGTTGCTGGGGCGTCATAGCAGCCAATTGCTCGCGAGTGAAAAGCATATTCGCCTTTGCCTGTGTAGGGGTTGCTCCCGCCTGAGAAGGAGCGGGAGGGGCGGGTTTCTGTTCTGGAGTGGGCTGAGATTCTGTAGACTCATCATGTGGCAACTTCCTTTTCTGTGCCTGTTTTGCGACAGGCCCTTTCGCATTCTTGCCAGACGGCACAGACTGGGCCTGAGCCTTTGTAGTCGAGTTTTGCTGGGGCTGCTGCGCCGTTTGCTGTGAGGGCTGCGGCTCCGGTTTGACTTGAGGCATGGAGGGCGGCACAGTAACCGGGGGCTGCGGTGCTGATAGAGATTGTTGTTGTGCCTGTTGGGCGGCAAGAGCCTGGGCCGCTCGACTCTGGGCCGCCTGTATTTGCTTCTGTCGGTTTCTATGCAGCAATTCGCGGAGTTGATCATCGCTCAGGTTCTGCACCTGACTGCCTAAACGCTGGCGGGCCAATTGAATATCTTGCGCGGAGATGGGACGCATAACCGGCATATTCATTGGCATCTGCTGCTGGCCAGCTTGGAGCTGTGGGTTCATCAAAGGCTGCGGCTGCCCCTGGAACGGTGTCGGCATCCAAGGGCCTTGTCCACCCTGTTCGGGGTTGCGAGCATTCTCTTTGGACTGAGCAAGAATCTGAGCGAGATGGAGTTTCTGCAACGCCAGCAGCTTCGTGATGTCGGCGCCTCCCAGCAGTTGCGGGCTTGTGGCCGCCAATTGCTTCAGCTGACCCCAGGTCTTGATATTTTTCGGAACAGCCGAGGAGATGTTCGGATTGTTGCTCAATATCGCGGGCGGGAAGTGCAATCGATCCATTTCTTTGACCTGTTCGGGAGACATCTCCATACCGCCGCTATGCGCACGAAGAAGTTGAAGCTTATAGAGATCCTGCTGGCGCTGCTGTTGCTGCTGTTGCTGTCGCTGTTGGACGGACATCTGACCTGGCAGCATCTGGTTAGGCTGTTGGGCACCACCCATTCCCGCAAGTTGTTGTTGCAAATTAAGAGACGCTCGTAGGTTCTGCCCATTTTGCATCTGGCCGTTCATCATTTGGCCATTGATCATCTGCTGGCCTTGACCCGACTGCGATAGATTCTGCTGCATGGGCATAGACTGCTGCGAGGCGTTTGCCCTAGCCAGGGCCTGGTTGTTTGCCAGCGCACGCCGTTGATGGTTCATGAGAAATGCGCTTAACTGTTCGTTGCTCATCGAATTGAGTTGCTCCTGGATTTGCGGGGGGAGGTTAGGTGGAATCTGTGGTCTTTGCATAGACGGTTGTCCGTTCATCTGAACGTTCCCAGGCTGTTGTCCCATTCCCTGGGGTCGGGACGGAGGCCGGACTTGCGCTGTTCCTTGTGGCGGAGAAATCTGACCTGGAGCCATTGGCCGATTCAACATGGGCATAGCCGGGCTTTGTTGGGACATTTGATGCTGCATTCGCGCGCCAGGTTGGTTTTGAGACATTGCGAATTGTACTTTGGCAGCTGCTTGCACCCGTGCTTGGTCTTGCGCTGACTGGGATTGTGGCTGTGGCTGCGCCTGGAACTGAGATGCTTGTTGAGATCTATCCTGCGGCATAGTCTGTGCATTCTGCACATGCTGCTGGGCTAGAAACTGTGGGCTTATTCCAGAGCCGTTTATATTTGCCTGCGCGCCCTGGCCAAGCTGCTGTCCGACCTGGAACATATTCTGCGGCGTCGTAAATGGTTGCTGATTCATCTGGGAAGAGCTTGCGGGCACCACAAGTTGGCCTGCCTCCTGAGAGCGCAACCCATCGGCCTGTTGTCCCTGGATGTTCTCAACATTTCCAATGAACGATGACGGATCCAAGCCTTGCTGGCTGCCTACCGAGAAGGAGTTGCGTTGTGCGTTTATCATATTCTGAAACATATGCCGCTGTGTGTTCATCATGGGGTCGCCCATCATGGCACCGTTGGGATCAACCCCAGCACCTGGCGGGCGAATATCACCCCGATTTTTCTTGAACCTCTTCAACTGGTTGAGCGCCTGAGAGCGAAAGAAGTAAGTGATCGGGTCCATGTTTTTCCGTTGCAAATACCCTCGCTGCTCGGGTGTCATGTTCTGCAGGTTCATCTTGATTTTCTCGAGATCCTCTGGCGAGGTCTTCGAGATGATCTGACTCGCTATGCGACAAACTTGTTCGTACTCGGAAGCGGAAAGGGTGTTTAAATCGTCCGAAAGCGCTGCCCCATTCGCAGGTTTTTGTTGCGGGCGCTGTTGCTGTAATATGTTCTGATGTTGCTGCTGCGCTTGCTGGCGGTGTTGCATTGCAGCTTGTTGGCTTATGTCACCCATGCCCATCGACATTTGCTGTTGTCCGGGCAAAGGCGATGCTTGCACGGGGCGATTCATTTGCGGGTTGAATGGCGGCTGTCCCAATCCAGGCATTCCCATAGCTTGCCCTTGGGGCATCATCCCACCTTGCATTACCGCTGCCTGTCTTGCACGAGTATCGCGAATATGAAGGAGCTTCTCATTGCATTCCCTTTCGTAATCGGCCTGAGAGACGCCATGATTAGAGCCCACGTAACACAAGGTA